CCCCCCCCCCCCGAACTCTGGCCTTTACCCCAGTTCTCATATACATAAATAAATATCTTTTTAAAAAACTGCCTCTAGGGCTGGGCACAGAGCCTCCCAACTTGGTAGGGGGTTGGGGGAGGGGGGGAAGCAAGGAAGGTGCCCAGGGAGCATGAGAGCTGGAAAGGCTATGCGAGAACGGCCATATCTATGTCCTCGTGTTGAGCTCAATCAACAAGGAAGAGGACCTCAGAAACATTTTATTTTAAATGTTCACGAGCGTTTGAGAAGGGTGTATATTAGGTCTTCTATGAAAGTTTGAGAGCATTCACCGGGAAAGTTTTGTTTTGGGGAAGACTTTTGATTACTATTTCAATTGCTTTACTATTTTTTTTATGTTCTCTCTCTCTCTCTCTCTCTTTTAATGATATAATAGTTTATTTTTACATCACTTTGTACATTTTTTTTCATCTCAATTGTAATCCCCGTGTGTTTCCCATCACCGAGTCACCCATGTGCCATCACCATAGTCCTGTGCACTTCCCTCCCTGCTTTACTATTTTTTACTTAAAATTTTAACACAGTAAAATGATACAATCTTTGAGCAAATAAACTTGGCTTCTGGCTTCTGAGGAGAATGCTAACATGTGCATATTTAAATATCTGTGTGTTTTACAACTGACACTATCTGTGGGTGTCAGGTGCTCCCCTCACCCCAGAGCACACTGCAAGGACCACACGGAGTGATGCATTCACTGTAACCTGCCATCCCCAGCCTCATGACCTACCTGGGTCAGTGCTCGGCATGTGGCCTGGGCAGGGTGGACAGCTGAGCTGACTCACTGTGGAGCCCAAGCCTGACCCCATGTCTCTGGGCTCAAAGCTGCGAGAGCTGCATTTCAGCCTGTCTGAGGCTGGCGCCCGAGGCCACCACTGACCCCACTCCCTCCTCCTTGACTGCTGCCAGCAGGCACCTGAAACTCCATGGCTGCTACGTTTCTATTACAGCTGTGAGGACAGAATATTCATAGGCAGCTCCCTTCATCCCAGAACAGTGTTTTCAAGTTGATTTTTAAGGCAGCCATTGGGAAATTGAGAGGCGGGAACACATCATCACGCCAGGGGCATGGCAGCTGGCAAGCTGGCAGCACCTTGGGGATTCAGGCCCTGGGCCAGCCTGTCTTGTCACTACTGGACTCCAGCATGGGAGGGAAGGGGGCGGGGAACATGAGTGAGATAGGAACTCCCAGGAGAGCAAAAAGGGATAGGGAGGTTCCAATGCTCAGATCCCTCTCTTACTAGGGCTGCCCCTTCTTTCCCTTTCTAGCACAGTGGGGAATAAGAAAGAGGGGTGAAGGAGAAGTGGGCCCCCTGGTAATGCTAGCTCCCCTTGGAGATCAGGGCTGGGCACGGGGCATGGTGCAGACTAGAGGGGTGTAGCTGGGCTCTCTCTTCCATTACTCCTTCCCTACCTGGTAGGACACTGTGGGTGCTGACGCCGAGCTAGTGGGAAGAAGCAGTGCAGGCAATGACTTCTCAGGGCATGGTCATCCTTGTGCTCAAAGCATGTCCTGCTTCCCCAGCCAGCAGCTCCAGCTTGGGTACCTTAGGGGTGCTGGCCCTTCTGGCAGGAATACAGAGATTCCATGGCAGATGCCCCAGGGAGGGGGGAAGACCACACCCCTGTGGACTTGTCTCACATGGCAGGAGGCAAAAAGGGACAAGTCACTTCTCCCAGGTCTCAGGGCAGGCAGTGGAGCATGGGTTTGGATGCAGGCCCCGGCCTGCAAAGGCTGGGATCCCTCCCTGTGCACCACTGTGGTGTCGCTTGCTTTTAATGCCTCTTGTCAGGGGGCAGGTTCCGTGTCTGCACTGTCTTGCTAATTCTGTTACTTAGTGCAGGGTCTTGTCCAGAATGGGGGCCCCATAAATGGTGATGGTGATGAGGAATCTAGGACTCTGATGCGGAAAGGCACAGGCAATAGCCAGCACTTGGTGGAACTCAGGAAGTAGCAGTGACGTGTGTCAAATGAACAGGGTATGAGCGGTGGTTCAATTCACCCCTCTGTGCTAGCCCAGGGCCGTCCTCACAGCCACTGCTGAAAACGGTCTCTGTCTGCTCTCTCCTCCCCTGCCACTGACCTTACACTTGGTGAAGAGGAAAATTCACCCCTGGCCTGACATCTGGGTGGCCATTAATGGTTCCTCTCCTGGAGACAAAGGAGGCCCTGTGGAAGGGTCTGAGGGAAAACAGGCTCTCTGCTGGCTGCAAGCCCTGCTCCCCCTCTGAAGCCTGACAGCTCTAGACTCCCACCTGGGATGCAGGGGGGAGCGCCCTTTTTTCCCAGGCTCCTTTACAGAGCTGGGCTTAGCCAGGGGCCTGTACCTTGCTGAGGCAGGAGCTCCCTTTTACTGCCCACTTGCTCCCTGAGATGTCCTTTATGTGAAGAACACCTATCTGTAACTTCAGCGTAAAGGAGAAATGTGGAAACTGGGCACTGCAGAATTTCCTTAGGCGAGGGAGCTAAGTTGTTGCGCGAGTTGTGTTTGCTGAAAGAATTTAATGGGCTTCTGGAAACCCCCATTTGTTGCTCCTCCATAAAATGGTTAGCAAGGATGACCGAGGGTCACCCAAAAGCAACTCCAGACCCTCAGGGGGCACTGTGGTCCCAGCACTTCTAACAACACCTGGCGGAAGACTGGCATAGTTTTCGGTGGCCAATCACCAGCTTCCAACAAGAGTATCTTGTGCCTCAACGTTCTGTGTTCGCCTGTTTTCCACCTGGAGTTCACCAAGGTGGTGGCAGGTTCTCTGAAGACCAAAATAGCCAGCAGGTTTGGAAACAAAGGGCTCTCTGTGCTGAAGGCAGCGGGAGCTGTCACACCCCTGAGTGTCCATTGGCTGTAAGCGCCCCTTGGTGCAGCAGGAAACAGGAGCTGTCCCCCCCCCCCACCACCTTACAGTCTCCACCTCACACCCTCGGAGGCTGAAACCTATCAATCTCAAGCATGGCAGTAAGCACTTAGAAAGACGTAAGAGCTTTTCCTTGTCTTTGAGCTTTGCCAGGTAGGTATCGCCAATAAAAAAAGCAGTAAGCATGCACCTACATTCATGCCCATTCGGGGGACAAAGAAAAATAAACTCTAGTTTCTGGGGGTTCAATCCAACCATTTAGATTTAAGTTCTGGCTGGCTCCCCGACTGACTGCTGGAAGGGTTCTTACCGTGATCACTGTAGAGACAAGTGCAAAGACCAGCAGAAATGTCATATTTTCCCTTTCTGTGTCCAGCTCTGTGCTGAGGTCATTGGTGTAGTCGTGATAGAGCCACCAGAGCACCCCGCAGACAACTGGAAGACAGCACCACAGGCTCGGCAGGCACACCAGAGGCCACCACCCCAGGTTCAGAACTCCAGAGAAGGTGGCCTTGCTCAGCAAAGGTCCCTGGGGCTTTACAGGCAGGCCCTCCTCCCCCCACCAAGAACTGGAAAGAGCCCCGAGGACCTGCCAGAATGGCTTGGCTACTTGGTTTTAGGAGAAACAGGAAGGTGACCCTAGAACACAGGAGCACCCCATCAGCCTGGCCCACAGCTTGGGTCAATGTGACAGAGAGGAGTCTGGACCAGCAGACTACAGTCCAAAGTCTAAGATATCCAGGAAGCCGTGGGCACCGGACACTGGCCTGGCAGCTGCAAGCCTGGGGGGTACCTGACTTGCAAAGCTCTGCCTTTCAAGGTAAAGGCTGTGGAGGCCACGTCCACAGTGACCACAGGAAGGTCACAGTCATCGTGACTAGCCACGGTGGCAGCTGGGCATGTCCTCCAGAAGAAGCAATGCACAGGCCTGCAACCTCTACATTGCTGAAGCCAGGGCTGTCATTCAGGGGAATGAAATGCTAAGGTCATGCCAATTACTAAAAATTAAAACATCCTGTGTATCAGCTGGTAAAGAGCCAGGGCCTTGGGCCTCCCACATGCCCATGCCCCTGGACCCCCTTTCCTGGATGAATCCCCTCTCCTGACATCTCCTGAATGAACCCACAGTCTAGCTAGTGAAGGGAAGCTGTGAGCACATGAGAGGGTCTCCAGGACCCAGCCCCTGCTTGGGCTCTGAGTCACTTCTGACTGTCCAGTCTCTTGGCAGGACAACTGTGGGTATCCCAGTGCGAGTGGGTGGCATGAAAGTTCAGAAGGAACCCTCGTTTTCAACGGTATGTTCCCCAGGCTAATGCGGCAGCAGGCGCACATCAGAGGTGGCTCAATGCAGATGGCCACACTGCCATGTCCAGACCTCAGCTGTCCCTTGTTGTCTCTGGGTCAGGTCTTTGCAGAGGAAAAATGAGGAGGCTAGACAAGAGACTCTCTGAGACCCCATTAGCTCAAAAATACCAATTTGGAGTTTTCTACTTAAAGGAAAGTCTTTCCATGTAATCAAAAACAAGTCCATCAAGGAGAAATACTTACACAACAATCCCAAAATAACCAGTGCAATGAAAATGTGAACCAGAAGCGTGGTGATGAATTGGAAGGCGAGCATCATGGCCAAAGACAGGGCTGAAAATTAAGCAGAACGTGTAAGCCCATGGCAGTCATGGGGAGGGTGGCAAGGGCTGGGTGCGTGGCCAAACCCTCTCAAGAACAGGAACTGGGGAGTTTCTGCAATTTTGAACTATCCTGGGGCAGCTACCAAACCCCAAATAAAAATGACTTTCAGGACACCACCCGAAGTCTACACAAGCTCAGTGTGCTATCATAAGCGTGTGTCTGAAAGTGCAGTCTGCTTCTGGAATTAAAAAAACAAATTTAAGGCAGGTATTATTCTTAAATATATAAATCTTTATTTTTCCTTTTAAGTCCAACTAAACTATTAAAATATTTTTATCACACTTATTTTTTTTTTTGACTTCACACTAGGCTTGTGTAAAGTTCCAACTTCAACATTCTCAGATAGCCTTATGAAATAAAATAGATGAATGCCTTTAAAATGAAAGTTTTAAGATTCTAATGATACAATAAGCTGTCCATCTAAAAAATCCTGCATGTGATTTTCCACCATTTAGCTTTTTAAATGCAGGCTGCATTTCTTGTGCCCTGACAGCTGTGCGTTTCATGGCCAATCATTAACTAGAAGTCTGCCTTCCACATTCCTCCTTTATACACTGAGCTCAGACCCTGGAACTTGGTCACTATAATAAGGTCACCCCTAACTCTGTGAGGCTTCTCGGCAGACAATCTTGTCACCCCTCCCTTACTTGCACCTAAAACATTGAAATTATCTAAAAAGAAAATGAGTATACAAAGTAAAGTTTCATATTTAGTCAAAAAGTTGATTTCTTTATACAACAGTCAAACACACTAAGAAATTCTGGCATACTCACTGAAAGAAAATGAACTGAAAATTACCTAATGCGAGGATACAGAGGCCGAGGATTGTTTCTCTTGCTGACATGATGCCACTCAGAATCCGATGGAGGGTGTCCACATCATTTATCAAGACAGAAGCAAACACAGAATAGCACTCAGGTGTTTGAGGGATGCAGCGGTTAAACAAGGGGAAAGACTTGCTAAAAATGAAAGAAAAACGGTAAAGACACTTATTTACTTTAAGAAATGTTTAAAATTCTCAGCAACCAAGTAAACATAAGCTCTGCATTAATAAAAGCATCTAGTTTACAAAGTACGAATGGGTAACTGTGCTGCTGCAGGGCGGGCTGCTGGCTGGGGAGGGGACTGGTTACGGGGTCTCCCAGGAGCCTAAACCAGAAATCTACAGCAGGAGAGCAGTGCTTCTGATGGAATAGAGCGAGAGCTTAATAAACTAGTAATAAATGTCTGAATGAAGCTGTGGCTGATAACTTGGGTAGAGGAGAAAGCTGATCATTTTTGGAAGTCTTCCTTCTCTGGAACACGCACTCGTGCTAAATTTATTGCTAGGTACTTGCATGGTTTTATACGTACTTTTTTATTGTTGTGGTAAAAGAAGTCTTTTAAAAGTACATCAGTGCTACAGGTTTTGGTATAGTAATCCTGTCCCCTGCCACTTACATAAGGCACCTTTTTTGGCCACATAAGTTCTCTTATCATTTGTATGTTTTCGGTTTATTTTCTTGCCATCTGCAGGATACCAATTTTACCTTTTGCTTTCCAGTTTTTGAACCTCTGAGTTGCTTTCATTTTCTGTTACTAAGCAGATTCAGGACATCAGTGAAATCAGAATTGTTTTGGAAGCAAGTGTTTAAACTTCCATTTGCCATTTCTAAAAAATAAGTTCAGAAATAGATTGATATTTTGTTTTTGTTTTGTTTTTTTTTTTTGTTTTTTATTTTGTACAAAATGTCCACAGGATACTAATTTTGTTAATATGTCAAAATAACTATGGTGCTTATAGGCTTTGAAAACCCTGTGCTGGTAAAGACTAAAGACCCACCTTAGCCCTAAGGGTGACAGAGAGAGGCACAGAAAGTGAGCCCTCCGGGGTGGCTGTCAGCTGCCCAGAGTACTTTATTAGCTGAGAGGCATCTTTTTCGGCCACAAACTGTATTCCCCCCTGCCCCCTCCACTTCTGCTTCTGTTCTATCCACCAGCAAATTTACTCAGATTTGCAGGAAGTGTGGAGAGTGGAGTATATATTTAGATGATGCTGTCAGAATAGAATTTGTTAGAATACATGCAAACAAACAGTGCAGAGCATGGAAAGCACCCATCTGGGAAACTAGAATTTATGGGAGGGGAAAACCCAGGTCTTTTAGACTTTAAGACATAGGCGATGAAAAACAGTATTATTGTAAGAACAGAGGGGAAAGATATGCTTGCTTCTTATCTTCAGGATTTTTTCACTCCTCTTGAAAGCTCACTCCTAGGTACAAAAACTGTCTCGATATTTGGCATTGCTCTACGAGGGAAGTAATACCTCACTTGATCAACAGAGGAAGAAGAAACAATTGGCTTAGTCAGAAAGAGGCATTTAGAAAAATTCTTTGGCCCTATAGCCACACTTCTCATGTTTTCAAGCTCTTTACTGTTGGCACTGCTCTTTCATGATAAATATGATCATTTCCATCTTAAAACAAGCGCTTGCTTGTGCAGGGAAGGAAAAGGTGCACTTAAGCCTACTTCTGTCTTCCTAACTCTGTCCAAGAAAGGCCAGTCAATTAGCAGAGGGGAAGGACCAGGACTGGCCTGGGAGGCAGTTGGTACAGGACCACCCCCTTCTCCCCCCCACTCCTCCAGTGAGCAGCGCCTGAAGAGTCCTTTCACTGGGCAACATAAACCAATGGAGACAGACTGCTCTTTTGGATCACAGAAACACCTAAGGACACTGTTTAGGAATGGCAGCTTCTCCTTTTGCAGGTTATTCAACCTTAACCTGACTTGCAATCCCTTTTCCCACCTCTAAAAAGTAGGTGAAAATAATGCCAACAGCGTGGTGATTTTGACATCCCAGTGAGTTAATACATGTCAGGAGCTTAGAAACATACCTGGCAACTATCAAGGGATCAATAAATGTTTATTGTTATCATCAGCAACAGCAACATGTAAATTTCCTGTGAAATTACCGTTGCTCTCCCAGTGATAGGAAGGGGAAGGTTTATCAAACTCCGGTTAGCTGGCAACATTAAAATTTCCAGTCTCCTTAATTCCTTCTGAAGTTACAGTTACAAATACCATTAAAAAAGTCCTTTTCAAAAGGCAAATACTGCATGGTCTCATGAATATGTGAAATTTAAAATAGCCTCAGGAGAGAACGAATGGTGGGGGTGGTGAGTGGGAAGATGCTGGTCAACAGTATAAAGTTTTTTAAAAAGTCCTTCTCTCCAAGTGTTAATTAATTTTCTTTCAACCTACTAAAACATCGTAGATCCCCTCCACCTCCACAGCTTCAGATATGTTTCGCTGGGACATGTTTATGATAGCTGAAAAACTCAGAACTAAAAAAAATAAGATAAATAGGAAAATGAAATGGACACTCCTTTCTGTAAATAATCCTCTTCCCTTTCTAATGACTTATAACATGCAATGTTTATTTTAGAAAGAAATGCCACAAGGCTGGCCAACTATATTTTCCTATTCAGTTAAAATCTACTCTTTTATTATGCACCTGCAATTTCAGCATTTTTGAAGCTACACTTGCAACCTGTTAGAACATTAAGGTCAATTGGTTTTCTTTAATAAGTGAAACAGAATAGGAGCTATTATTGTGAATCATACACAGAAAGGGGGAATCCTGTTTTGTTAGACTTCTATTTCTGCTTCATGTACTTGCTGAATGAAGGTCTGTGCCTTCTGGGGCTGTGATGTAGGACGTTTCTTACTATGAGTCCTGCCCAAGAGTCTGAGAAACACCGTCAAAGACAGTTGGCACCATGATTTGTTCTACTTAAATATTCATTAATTCTTGGAGATTTTGCACAGGGGTCTCACTGACAGTCAACAAAGGTAAGAATTTCAAAAGAAAATTAATGCAAAATAAATATTCCAAGTCCCCCTTCAGTAGTACATCTTAGCATCCTGATGGTAGCCATGACTGCAATTAAGCTGCCCTGTAGTCCTCTCAGTGACCACTATCTTGCTTATCACTTGCTTTGGGAGGACATGTTTTCTGTTCTTGTTAAAGAACGGTGTGGTGGTCACATGACCTTGCCCCCTGTTTATCATGGAGTAGTCTAGAGCTCAGTAACTAACAATGTCTGGTTTCAAGAAAAGGGCAAAATTAAGTCATTTCTCATCTGTAATAAACAGTTGAGCAAAATATATATATATACACACACAAGCTACTTTATAAAACCACAAGCTACTTTTTGCTAACTCCAATGTTGTCATTTGAAGACTTTTTTATTACTTGCTGAGTTTTCTCTTTCCTTAGCCTGGTTACCTATCCATTTCCATTATGTATATGCAAATCAGCCCTTCTCATTCATTCCTAGTTTCCTATAAAGTCCCTACAGACAAAGCTTTACTTGATACTTCCTTTGTGCTTCCCATAATACCCAGAGGAGTAACAGGTGTGTACCAAGCATCCAATAACTTTTGTTGATGGATAAGAGAAAAGAATAAAAACCTTTACCTTGGAGGAACTGGTAGTCTCGGGCACAAGGAGTATGCTTTTGGATTCTGGGTGTAGTTGAAGGAATTCAAACTATAAACACACAGGAGAGACCCTGGAAGAAGACACAGACATCTATCTTCCTATGTAGAACTCATTTTTCTAGGGGAACTAGTAAGGAAACAGTAGTCACATTACCAAGAACAAAGTAAACCATTTTGAATTAGAAAACAGTCACTAGGTGATCTAAATATGAAAAGAAAAAGCATATAATCTAAGGTCAGTTTAAGCCCTTTCTTTCTTTCTCTCTCCTAAACCTTAAATTCAAAACTAAGTTATGATTGATACTATAATGGCTTGGAGGTCATTTGAAGATGATTGATAGTATAGACTTAGTTTTTTTTTTTAAGGTTTATTTTATTTATGCATATAGAACTGGGATATAAGTCAGAGGTGTTGGGGGTGAGAGGATTCACCAGAGACAGAGTGGGAAGCAGAACAGACAGATTAATGAAGTACACTGCTGAGGGGAGCAGCAGGTGGGTCAGGAGAGGTCTGCTGCGCCATGTGGATCACCTCCCTGGCTGGGGATCGAACTCCTGCAGCAGTGGCTGCAATAGCTTCACAGTGTTGTGCTTTAACCCTTTGCGCCACCAGGGAGGGCCCAGGTTTGATATTTTTAACCCCTCCCTGTCAATAATGTTTTTAAAATCTGATATCCTGTTTCATAGCAGATACCATTAACAGTAGGTGCCTCAAAATCCTTTGACTTTTCTTTGGTGGTTTAATACTCAGAACATAAATCTGAGAAGCAGGCTCAAAACAAGATACTTCGGTACACCAGTGGTTTTGGTATAACTTCATGATGATTCCACCCAACAGTGAAAATATGTACAGGCCCGACATCTTAATGAAATGGGGGAAACCCAAGCCTGGAGTATCCTCAGGATTGGATGTGCCCATGTGCCCAGGCTCCCGACCCTCTGGGCCAAATGTCAGTGTTTCTCTGTGTGTCTTTGGAAAACCATTCTCCAGCAAGAAGCAGGAAACTGAGAAAAGTCCAGATTAACTGGAATGAAACTGAATAAACTCAAGAGAAAAGTTTTTTGGCCTTTTCCACAAAAGACAATTTCCACCTTCCCAGAGAAAGCCTTGTTGGTAAGTTAGTTTACCCTGATCTCCCCGGTTCCCCCACCTAGGTTCCAACCCTCAGGAGGGAGGCAGAGCCTGCCCCTCTGAGCCTACCACTGCTGTTGGCAAAGAGCTGGACCTCTTCCAGCGTGTTGAGCTGCGCCTCAGGGCACCTGGATACACAGAGGACCGTGGAATTGAGCCTTGCGTCCTTGATGTCCAGGTTGCAGGAATTCAGAAAGAATACGTGTCTGAGAGACAAGAAAGAAGGATGTGTAAAAGCATTTTCTCTTTCTGACTGGGCATTAAAAACATTCACATGCCATCAAATGTGAGAAACATGAAGGCAGGCTTTTATCCTCAAATGCTTCACTATAACTTAACAGGAATTATGTCTATTGGGGGTCATCTATGGAAGTGTGCAGCTTGTGAACTATGCTTGAATGTTAACAGAACTTTCCTTTTCTAAATGTAGCAATCTCTGGGGGATCACAGAAGGGAGGGATTGACTAAATTGCTCCTGGCTTGTTAGATGGGCCCAGTGCATAACTACTCAATGAAACCCCAGAAGGCATGTCAGCACCCTTGGGCATACAACACACTTAAGAGCATTGCTGATCCCAGGGAAGAGAAGTGGAAGGGAGGAGGTCCAGTCTGTGACAGAAGATCTGTCCTCTCCCTGATTCTGATTGACAGCCAAGAAATTGATAGGGCCCTTCCCACTGTAGCTACCCAGTGGGCAGGTAGGTGGGCACAAGAACAGAACTGGTAGTTGCCATTAATGGGTCATGGGTTGGGATAGCAATGGCAGCTCCAGACTCATGGCCAACAGCACTGGATCGCTGAGGTCGGAGGAATGCTGGAAGCATCTTCCTGGCCAAGGATATATCTGGAAAGAAGTCTCAGCTGCTTTTTTCTCTGAGTGGGAGTGGGAGAAAAGGAGGTGGTGAAACAAGAGTTGGAGAGGAGACTGCATGATAAATATAATATGATATATAATGATAAATATATGTGGTAAGTATAAAATGTTTACCTTAAACATTTTAATAAATACATTATATTTTAAAAATAGCAAAAACATTGGTAGGCAACTATAAATCAGAGATGTTCTTCAGAGGAGATGGAGGGATAAGACCAGGGGAGGGAAGAGCACACAGGACTAAGGCGATGGTGCATGGGTGAACTGTGGTGGGAATTTCATGGGGACTACACCTGAGAGGGGAAAGCACATATTGGACAAAAATAAACAGTGATGTAAAATATATACAAATAAATAAATTTTAAACATTTTAAAAATTGCAATGAAATACATATAAAATGTTCCCATCTTAACTACTGCAAGTACACAGGGCAGAGGCATGAAGTGGATTCTCCAACACCCATCATCACCTCTCACTTCCCGACTCTCCAGCCTACAAAGCTCATCAAACAGCAGTTCTCCTGGCAACAACCTGCTACTTTGTGTCTGTATGAACCTGCTTACTCTAGGTAGTTCATACAAGTGGGAATCAGAAAATATTTTTCTTTCTGTGACTGACTTACTGTATCTGCCCTAATATCCTCAGGGTCCTCTGTGTGGGAGCATATGGCAGAATTCCCTTCCTTTTAAAGGCTGAATAACATCGTATTATTATTAGGTGCACACCACATTTTGCTTACCCATTCACCTACTGAAGGACACTTGGCCCCTTCCAAGGTCCTTCCAAAGGTGCTCCAACCTTTGAGCAGAGAGAACATGAAAATTACACTTTGACTTCAAATAGGGGTGACTGGCTCTCAAGCACCACATTATGAATCATTGTGAAATAGGAACATGGGGACAGCCTCCTTCTCCTCCTGTCTTCTTTGCAAGTGAGACCCACAGTACAGGTGAAAATACTGCCCCACCCAGGTACTCCTGCCCACAATAGGCCTGGCCTGAGGTTCAGATTTGGAGACTCCAAACTTATACTCAGCACTGGTTTGGCAATTAAGATTTCTCTCCTAGCAGTGGCTTCTGATCAAGTTTCAAATTATTTTAAGGTAGCCTCCTCAGGGAATCATGACTCAGGATTTCTCACCTTTAGGAGGTTCCTGGCTCTACTCTCCCTTTGCTGTGTGAGAGTTAGAAGGAGTCTATGTGCCACCACAGCACCACAGCTAAGAGGATGCACGGGCATAGGGAAGGGAATGAGAACCAGCACTCCCAGCTGGGATTCGGGGGCGTACACACAGAGGCAATACTTTAGTTGGCATGTTGTGATTAGTGGCAGAAAATTGGAAACCTGATTCTAATACATTTATTCAATATTGGCAACAACTAATAGTTATAAGGTCTTAACTTCACTCACACAGAATCTCAATGAATCCTTAAAACAGCCTTGTGAGGTGGGCATAAAAATAAGTTTTAAAAAACTAGCAACAACAAATGTTGGTGAGGATGTGGAGAAAAAGGAAGTCTCCTGCACAGCTGGTGGGAATGCAAACTAGTACAACCATTATAGAAAATTGTTTGGAGGTTCCCCAAACTGCTAAAAATGGAGCTTCCCTAGAACCCAGCAATCCCACTTCTAGATATCTATCCAAAAGACACAAAAATACTGATTCAAAAAGACACCTGCACCCCCATGTTTATTGCTGCTCATTTACAATTGGAAAGACATGGAATCAAACCAAATTCCCAAAATTAGATGACTGGATTAAAAAGATACGGTACATATACATAATGGAATATTATTACTCAGCAATCAAAAAAGAAACTCATGCCTTTGCAGCAACATAGATGGAGCTGGAAGGGATCATGCTTAGTGAAATAAGCCAGAAAAAAAAAAAAAGAAAAATGCTGGATATATATGCCAGAGACATTTTACAGAGGTAGGGAGGAGAGTCGGGGAGGAGGGCATGCATGGGACTGTGGTGATGGGAAGCCCACTGGGATTACAAGTGAGATGGAAAAAGGCACAAAATGATGGAAAAATAAACTGTAATAATTTAAAAAGTTTTTAAATGGTGAAAATTAGGCTTCAAGAGTTTCCTTACTCTGCTCAAGTTCACATAGCTTGAAGGTAGCAGAGGCTGAATTTGAACTTAAAAGTGGATTGATTCTGAAACCTGTGTCCTTGTACACACACACATGTCCCTTTTTTATGAGATGGGCTGGTATAGTTTTGAATGGGAAAAGTTTCCAAGCTCTAATTGACTAACTTTATAAAGTTTTGTAGTCCTCCTGGAAGTTGGGGACTTACTTGGACACTTACTTTTTTAGGGTCATGTCCTGTCCTGAAAGAGGAGCCCCGTCTACTGGGCTGTTCTTCTTGCCACACACGTTGCCAAAGCTGTCGTAGCCAAACAGGAGCCTCCCCGTGGCTCCAGTCACCACCGAATAGCCCATGAGGAACATCTGCAGAACCCAAGAGGCAGGTGAGAGCATAGTCAAAGGGCTGAAGACAAGATCCCCCAGTTCTCAAGGACGTTGATGGAAAAAGGAACCAGGTGAAAAGTAGATCTTGGCATCCCTGCATCTCTTTCCTCAGCCACCCCGTGGGCAGCTTGATGAAGTTAGGACGCTGCTACTCTCATGTTGTTTTAACAGGTTAGGTAGGAAGCGTACGCTAAAGCACAGAAATTGATTCCTCTCTATTTTCTTTTCTTTTTTTTTTTTCCTTTTAAGATTTATTTATTTATGCATACAGAACTGGGGTACAGGCCAGAGGTGCAGGGGCAGTGAGAGGATTCATCAGAGACAGGGTAGGGAGCAGAACAGGCAGATCGACGAAGCACACTGCTGAGGGAGCAAGAGAGGTCTGCTGGGCCTCTCCTGATCCTGCTGAGGGTCACCTCCTAGGCAGGGATCGAACTTGCACTGAAGCGGCTGTGGCCAGCTTGCAGTGCTGCGTCCTAACCCGTTGTGCCACCAGGGAGGGCCCTGATTCCTCTCTATTTTCTTACTTCTGTGCTTCTCGTACTTTTTCCTCCTATCACTTTTCTTTCCTGGCATAACTTCACCAAGACAGCTTACTTTTCCCCCTTGCGATTTTTGGTTTATCCAAGTCACCAGGACCAGTTTACTTTTCCCCTGAACTAGGGGGCTACTTTCCTTCTCCTTTCTTTCTTCCCTTGCCCTCTCTTCTCCCTTTTTCTTTCTGTCTTATATTTAGGGGATTCTGACACAGTTGATATGTATTAAACTATGTGTATTAAACTATATGTATTAAACTATTGTTCATAACAAGTTTGAAAATAATTTTTTGGCACTAGCGCTTAAAGGGCACAAAATAAAGACTCTTAGAAATTGTGCTGGATCAGAACATTCTGAAATCTGTAGTCAGAATGTTCTGACTGTGCCATTTTGTCCTAGGAGAATCTCTTGGAAGTTGGATCTTTTTTTTAAATATGTATATATATATATATATATATATATATATAATAGTTTATTTTTACATTATTTTGTGCATTTTTCCATCTCAGTTGCAATCCTCATGGGCTTCCCAACACCAGATCACCCATGTGCCATCACCATGGTCCAGTGCATTTCCCTCCCCCCACTGTCCTTGATCCCATTCCCCACTGGTATATAACTGTTCATCATTATCATTATTTTCTCACCTAGTCTGTTATACTTCTGCTATGAGAGAAACCATCCAGTATTTTTCCTTTTCTTTCTGGCTTATTTCACTAAGCATGATCTTTTCCAGTTCCATCCATGTTGCTGCAAAAGACATGTGTTTCTTTTTTCTTGGAAGGTGGGTCTTTTATACTTACTTTAGTAATGTAGATAACAGCAAAAAAGTCTCCCTCAATTTCTTCAAAGACCAGCCCCAGGAAATCACCCACTCCAGACTAAGGCATGTTACTTAAATAGTAAGAGTAAATGATTAATCTATTAAGTCCAATTTCATAGTGAGTGTAAAATATTTGAAATTTTGACCCAACTTTCCCAAGAGATCTAAGTCCCCCAATATGCAATGCACAGAACACCATTGATCACTGGTGCCCAAGTCATCATTCCGGGAGCAGGGTACGGTACACCATTTGTTAGAATTTAGAACTGATACCCTATATCCCAGTGGTACAGTGTCCCAAAGTCAAATATGTTGGCACTAGCCTGCATTCATTACTGAGTTAGAAACCTAAAGAACAATCTTCCAGTGCCCAGTGTGCTCCAGAGATTCTGCTCATGGAGGATGTAAAGATGAACAAAAAGGAATCCTTGCTCTCAAGGGATTCAGGCTGGAAGGGGGCAGGACTTTTAAGCTGCAGAGCCCCTGGAGAAGAAGGGGATCCTCAAACAGTTCTTCCTGGGCCTCAAGGTCAAGATG